GGGGGGGGGGGGGGGGGGGGGGGGGGGGGGGGGGGGGGGGGGGGGGGGGGGTTGCTTATATTCGAGTATAAATTTATGTTTTATATATAATATTTTCAGATTTTGATGTATCATGCTGTTATTGCATTCCTATTGGACATAGAGCACATGATGGACTGCGCTTTAACTGCATTCTATAAAAGAGTTAGATGGTAATCTTAAAACCTGACGCGAGAAGTCACGGGAATTCGATTTTCAAAAAAATCGTCGATTTCGTGTTCGTGAACCTAGAATGTCTAAATATATCAATAACAACAGCAATGCATCCACGTCTTATAATAGTATCTATAATGTTAGAGAACGTTTTCAACGAATGACGGGAAAATTTGAGGCATCGGAGACGGCAATTGATGATGGAGTATCAAATATTGCAGGCATTAACCGCGGTGGTAGCGTTAATGAAACAGAGGAACATCATGTTGGTTCATACGAAATTACATTTTCTTCCAATAGTAAGTTCATTAATTATCGAGAACACCCAAAACAGAGTCACTTAATAACGCCAGAACGAAGCCAGACGCGCTCTATCAAACTTAGCGTGGAAAAATGTGAAAAAACAGAGGATAATCAAATAAAAAAAAAACCGTATACACGCTGTATTTTAAGTACTCCGTATCCTTTAGGAAAAACAGAAAACTTTGTATACGAGACACCGATCATACCTACGTCGCCAGCACAAAAATCAGCTATACCTCCTAATGTAATGATTCCGCCTGGAAAATCTTTAGATTCATTCTTGCCATTAGCGAGGGATCCATTAAATTCACCAATGCCTAAACCTAATCCAATTTATAAACAAGAACCATTTGGTCGAAGTAAGCGAGCCAGTACTGACATATTCGTTCCAAAGAATACAAATATTGACATATATACTAAAGGCGTAAATAGTCTGACTAATGGAAAAAGGACCAGATACATGATCAAATCCAATGATGCAGCAAATAAGGTGAAGAGCAATAAACCAATAACCAAAGAACATGATAGGTCATTCAATTCTAAGAAATTTAGAAGAACCACGATTGAAGAAAATAAAAAATCAATTATATGTAGAAGATATGGATATGGATTTTTAGGAAAAAGAAATTACAATTCTTCGGATGAATCATCATCAGATTTCGAAGTTGATCCATCAATAGGCCGATTTGCTCAAGTTAAAGTAACAGAATCTAATTCAAAAATTGCTCGACGAAATACAAAACCAGGCTATTATTCAGCGAACTTCTCGTCAGATGATGAAGAACCGGCATCAAAAAGAATCCGAAGAATAACTAGAAATCATAAACCATCGGGATGCTATACTGCGAATTTTAGTTCGGATGGCGATTTTGACGCTGATGATGAGATTAAATCAAAAACAAACGCTTCTACGTCTAAGACGAGCTCGTCTCGAAGTATAGCTTTTGGAGGTCTATTACCTCAAAATCAGATCCCTCATCGCCATTACAACAAGACCTTCGGAACCTCAATCTTTTCCCCCAGAAAACCTTAAAAAAGCCTATTAATAAGACAACCAATATCTATATATGAGAAGTATACGAAGTTGAAACTTAAATGTGCACATACAATAAAATAGCGTTAGCAGAAAACTTTACACGTTATCCATAAAACTAATTCTTGGCATCATTTCCTTTAACAGTTTCTTCCTCTTCAACAAAGTAAATTTTCTTGGATATTGAGTTTTTTAAGCTTACGAATATTCGAATCCAATTATCGACGTGATATTCTTTTTAATTCGTTCTGCTGGCATTTTTTGGCGAGAGTTTCATCGGATAAGAGACTTAATAGACTTAATGATATGTTATTTATAAAGCCAACGTTTACATTTTGCCGGGATAAATTACAACCCGCTGAATTGTAATTCGCCGCCCCCTTCATGATAGACCCTCCCCTCTTTTTACTAAATGTAACTGTATACGACGAATTGGTACTGCATTAAATATGATGAAATCAGTTTACAATTACCGTTATTGATTTTTTGATGATGCTACGCAGAAGCACTCGAATACAAGCATTATATGACAGGAAAAAAAGTGAAAATTACTCGCTTTCTTCGAATTCTGAACACGAAATCTTTACAGGGGCGACTAACGAAAACAATATTGAAAAAGAGCATATGAATGCAAATTTAGATTCTACGAATTCCTCAACTGCACAAATGCCAAATGAAACGGAAATCGTCGAAAATGATTCTCAAGTACTTCCGTTAGAAAATATAAACGAGAATTCTACATGTCCTTCACCAAGCTATTTTCTGAAATTCTTTGAAGATTTATCGCCGCCATTGTCTCCCACCCTTCCCGAAATTCCCCCAAGAACTAAGAATGATTCCCAGACCGAGGATAAAGAAGAGATCGAAGGTTTAACTCTGGACGATATGGATCTCAATGACGATAACGCAAATTTGAACTTGGATAATGATATCTCTGATAAAAGTTTACGGTAAATTCGAATTTGATTTTTTTATATATCATATATCACTAATTTTTGTTTACTTATTAAGGCCAGGATTACCGCCTCCAATTAATTGGTCGTTTTTTACGAAAGAGATATATCAAAAGTATACCGTAGCTACTTTGGATTTACTCATGAAAGAAAATGTTAAGGCTCTTATAGCAAGAAAGAAAAAACTGGATGCACAAGAAAAACATCCGAATAAAGAAACATTGCCATCGCCCCCAGTTACCGCACAATTAGATACCTTTAAAGATAAAAATGCACCAGAATTGTCTTCATCTTCATCACCACAACCAGATAATCTTGAACGTCAAAAACAATCAAAATCATCGCCAGCTGAAGATATAATTGTGCCAAAATCACCTTTGTCATCGGCTACAATACAATTAGATACCTTAGAGGACCTAGAATCATCGTCTCCGAGAGCAGTAGAACCTGATAATCTCGAAGCTCTAAATAAATTAGAATTAACATCCGCCCCAGCTATGGATACTTCCTTAGAAAGTCAATCTAAATCAACTTCGTCTCCAATTGCGGTACAAGTAGAAACTTTGGAAGCACAAATTGTTGAAGCGTCACAAATTATTGCTTCTCCGAATGAAATTGAAGATAGTCTCGCAGTATCTGCGCAAGATTCTAATTCTACTAATGTGACGATTGAAGCTCAGCAATCAGCACGATACAATTTTAACTATTATGATGATGAAGGTGGTACATATTTTACGTATAGAAAAATGTTAGCTTAATTATTTATTCCATAATACTGAATTTTTATCTTTTTAATTATAGATTTGATAATGGATGATCAAAGTGGCGATGAAATTACTCCAGAGCAAGAGACAATAATAAATGCGAGCAATTTCAAAGAAACTGGCTCTGAAAGTGGACAATTGAATAACTTGCATTTGCCTTTACAAAGTTTTTCAGAAAAAGAAACAATAAATATGAGTGATGTCATGGAGGCTGGCTCTGAAGTTTTGTCAGCTCAAGGAACGATAATTAATCCCAAAGATATTGACTCTAACAGTGAGCACAAGGATAGGTTGCTTTCTTCTACACAAAGTTTACCAGAAAAAGAAATGAGTGATGGCAATCAAACTGGCTCTAAGGGTGATAATATTGATTTAAATTCAAGGGTGGATTTAATTGGTCCACTCTTAAAGCTACTTGATGAGCGCAAGGAGCTTCGACTGCAAACAGATCAACAGAATAAGCGTGATAATAATAGTTCCAGTTCAAATTTTCCATTAGATATTTTGACCGCATCATCTGCATTAAGTACTTCTCAAGATGAACTGGCTCTTAGCTCATCTCAAACATCATCCGACTTGATACAATATTCTTCTTTAACAAAGGAAGATCATAAAGAATTTTTACAGATCAGTTTATTATTTAATCAGAGTGTACGTCTTTTAAATTACTCGAAAAAATAGAAATATGAGCTATAGACAAATTTGCTAATTTCACGCTTTTAAATAGCCTCATCTTTTAGATGAAAATCAGTTCCAACGTTATAAATACCTGGGGGAACTTTTCCATAAGGAAAACCAACGTTATCTTCAGTGGACATATGATCGGAGCATAGAAAGATTAAAATTCTTAAATAATGATATTAAAAATCAAATCGAGGTAATTATATATAATTCATTAGCTTTGATGCAAAATCTTTCAATTATATTTAACTTTATTTAAATAATTAAAGAATCAAATATATACCGTTAGATTGCGCGTGCAAAAACAATATCCAGTAAGTTAATAAATAATATTCAATTTTATGCTCTAATATTATTATTTCTCCTTCGATAACCAAAATTATTGTTATAGCGCTATTATCGCGTATTTTCTTCAATAGGGATTTCGTTTAATGCACCTATGCCTGGTGATCCTGTTTTAACTTACAAGGAATTGATCTATAGAATTGTAAGTTTTTGTTGCAGTTTACAGGAAGGTACGCGTAAAAATTAATCATATATTAATTTTATTTAACAAATCATTTAGGGGACCTGTTATGGTTTTTGTATCCCAGAAATGAAACTGCCAATCAGCATCAATCTCGACCGATTCTATTGGTCAGATAGTTCTGCGGGCAACCATGAGAGACCACCATTAAATCGTGAGTGGCAAAAATTAGTGAGTTGATTTATCAGTTGATTATTTTGCATTCGACTCTATGTATATGTGCGTAACTGACACCTATAATTTATAATGCCAATTTTCAAAGTCTATGCCCGTTGTTAGCAGTGATCCGTTAATTCCTAAAATGGTATCCGAGCGTGATGCCGATATTGTAATATCTTCAAGCGGACTTTGTGCTATAATCGCTCTGAATGCAACTACAGATCTCGAATTTGAAATACCAGTTATTGTCCGAGAGAGAAAATTAGGTAAAAAAAGGTTTTTTTTTTGCGATTAAGAATTAGTTTCACATTTTAATCTCTATCTATTGGAAGGAGGAACTTTACGAAAGACTGTTTATATTGACAAACCACTCGCAAAACATCGCCATAGTCCTCGAGAGTATAATCAAAAATTTTACGACGTGGCCTTCAAAAGTGTCGTTTCAAAATTCCCAATCAAAGTCGAGGATATCGTGAAAGTGGCGGCGGGGAATTCGAGAGATATGCAAAAAGGTTCGGATAATGTCTTTTAATTAAAACAAATAAATTTATAATAGTAAACGAAAATTTTAAAACAGTTGAATCGAATTCGAACAATATATGCAATGAAGAGAAACCGGGAGATTCAAAGGTATCGAAAATAACGGAACCTGTAAAGGTCATAGAGAGTGATTCTGAAGTGAATAAGGCAATTGGCCAAGCAAAAGGTGAAGATAAAGAAGTCAAAGAAAATAACATAGATAATACGAATGAGACATCAGAACTAATGGAGGAAAATACTACTTCTAAGAATATTACTGATTCTCAAACCGGGAATATGTTAAATGACGCGCAATTAAATTCCGGAAACTTGATGTATACTTTATGGAGCTTTGGGGATTTAACATTATTGATAAGATGTAAAGCACATGGATTTATTTATCAAGGAGAAAGACAAACTCGCAAAGTAAGTTTTTTTTCTTTTTAATTATGTAGTCAATTCAGACGTAGGTAATATTCTTATGTTTTTTTTATCAGCCGCAAATTGTTAGCATGAAATCAAAAATGGAATATCAAGCTGATATAGGATTAGAAGAAATCACAAACGCTGAGCGAGCCCGCTGGTGGATTCATTCTTATATTCGTGGAAATTCACATTTAATGCTTGGTCGAATTAATGTAATTAATAATGAATTAATCGAAGTCGAACAAAGACCAATGACAAAAATAATACCAAACGCGGATTGGTAAATTTATTATTTTATTATGTCATTCGTCGTGATTGTCTTTAAGAATACTTATAAAGGTTATTTTGGATATAGGCCAATGGCTTACAGTAAATTGCTTCAAAATATTCTGAAGCAATTACATACGAGGTAAAGAATTGTATATCGTTATAATGAAATTCTATCTGTGGGTTACCAAACACGTTGTTTCATTCTTGATGATTTAGTCTGCCTAAAGGAACCTTCATACTTTCCCATAAGAAAAAAGATCTTCATCTTACCGTATATGAAAGTGTATCCGAGGATTTTAATCAGTCAAATGCAAAGCCAAAGCTATACGACCTTCATACAGCACATTCACAATTGCCACAGATGGATCTTGAAACTGTGCCTTTTGTTAAATTACAGTGGACAGGCCCAACGGAACAAGTGGCTTATACATTTCCGCCAGTAACATCATTTTGTTTCACTTACGCAAACAAAGGCCTTTGCTCGAATCAAAAAGTAATTTTATATTATTATGTTAATCTCAATATAATATCACCTAATTAATTAATTAATATGTAATTTTTTGACATCTTCGGTAGTGCCGATTTCCTCATGTTCGAATTGCCAGTGGTGTTTCTAATGGCTCAAAAAATAAAAAGAATAAGATGTCGCAGGATGAAAAACGTAAAGGGCCTAAAAAAGATAAGCAAAAGAAAACATCCCCAAAAAAGAAAAAACAAAAGATATCGAAAGATGACACTAACAATGACATAGTTCGAAGAGACTTCGATTCCGAGATTGTTTCTTCTAGCATCGGTGACGGATCATCTCGGTCAGAATTCAATTCTATTCTAGATAATTATAGACAATCGCGCGGATAAAATCCATGCATTTTATCTCTTCATTAACTCTATAATTATGTATTACTTAATTCTTATAATTTGCAGACATAAGGTTAGTTGATATTGTAAAAGTTCCTTGCGATTTAGAAAAATTACATTTTAATAATTTATGCTTTCTATCGGGAGCACAACATCCCATATCAGGTAAGTTAAAGTTAGGGCATATTCATACTTGACGAATGTGTTTCACGATCATCCCACAATAAATAATTTTTCAACGGAACGCGTGACGTAAATACTTTATCTTAAACGTGATGATCATACGCGTTAAAAATATGCAATGTTTTGACAAGTAAAAACTTGAATACTTCAGTAGGATCAAACCTAATGAAAGGTCGTTTATTTTATTGACGCATATAAATATTGGAATTCGCGTACCAGAAGAGATTGAATTTTAAAAAGATAGAGAAAAATTAACAATAAATTTTTAAATAGACAAAGAAATCAATAATAATAAAATTAATTTTAACAAATTCACGAAGATGATGATAATATTAATAATTATAAATTGCAAGTCATCTGATGCTTTTCAGGAAATAATGTAATAAGATTAAGAAAAACGCAATCCAAATAATTAAAAAAAAAACAAATAGAATAAACAAGCGTGTTAATGATAAATAATACATTTTACAAAAGAAATGCTTTGTGTGTGAAATGGATGTGTAGTGCCGCCTCTTTCGAGAGAATGATAAATAATGCTAATAATTAATTAAAAAAGTCAAACAAACAAATACGTAAGGTAGAATTTTTTTAAATAGAGAATAAAAAAATAAAATATAGAAATTTAGGCCATTATTGTTTAAATATCATTACAAATGTCACTTTATCCCAAGTTTCGGAAGATTGCCAATCTATTACCACGAGGTTGATTGAGGATTGGAACAAGATCCGATGCTGCATATCCAGCACCGTTATTCTTTCCTTTTTCTAATCGAATTGGTATCGCACGTTGTTTCATGGTCGGTTCATCACAATTAACAACTTCGTCCAAGAAGTTTTGAAGAAGTGGAGGTGTAGGAAGTTGATTCTCATCATCGGAGTCTTCCAAGTTTCCATCAATAAATCTTTCCCGAGATACATTAAGATTTGCAGCTTTAGACGCCGTGCTTCCTTTTAAACCGTCCTGAAGGTGTGATGTTGTTGAGGGCGCAACAGAGTCGCGGTTATTAGCCGACATTGCATAGGATTGACTTGAAAAGTACAAGTCAGTGAATTCGCGAAGCGAACTGTTGGTCGATTTTAAATCTGGAACCTGTAGAGGAGAACCGGTGGTATCGCTTCCATTCATGAATTTACCATAAAGCTCGGAATCACTTTTGAATTTATTTAATTCCTTTGCTTTTCCACTTTGACCGGCCTTTAGTGAGCTATCGACACTATTTCGACGTTGTTTCGACAATACCAAGTCTTTATCGTTATGAATAAAGCAGCAACGTTTACCGTATGGACACGTGCCGCTTTGCCAAAAAGTTTTGCAGATTTCCGTCTTATATTTTGGATGGTGTACAACTTTTCGTAATTCCGTTTCAGCATGTGCAAATTGACATTTGGTTCCGTAACTAATCAATTGAATACAAAAGAAGATATTAGCGACTTGAGCAAAAAACGCAACGTCAAATCGTTGCAACAGTAGTAGTAACTTGAGAGTCAAGAATCCAATATACATACCGACAAGTACCCTTTTCTTCCCAATTTCGACACATCTCTGTTTTATATAGGGTCGCCTTTTTCTGCTCTTTCTCGATCTCAATATTGTTCGACTTATCCGAGTTATCTGAAACTGGATCTGATGACGCGGTGGTATTACTGTCACGACGAGCCTTCTGAAAGCGTGTCATGTCCAATTCATCGTTGATCGGTGGTGGTAACTTTGAAGAAATGAAAGTGGCACTGTTGTGGTCTTGGATATTTGACAAAGATGGGGTTCGTAGTTTATTGTTGATGTGGTCAACCGTGATTGCATTTTGTTTTGAATCAATGATGTTAGGTGAAGCAGTCAAGACCTGAGAATTATCTTTTGATTCTGAATCAGAGTCGTTAGGAGTTAAAGATCGTGAGGTTGTAATTGAAATGGAGGGGGAGACTGAACGATCTTCAGATGATTCCCAAGCAGAATCGAGCATGATTGGTTTCGAAGACGCGATGCTGAATAGTTTATTGTTGTAATTTGTGCCGACAGGATTAACATTATTGTTATTGTTTCGATATTTGACAGAATTAACTTCACCATTAACCATTAACGATGGTTTTTCGTGTGAATAGAGCCCACTGAAAGACCCACCACCATTCACCAGGTGATCGTAATAGAGAGAGTCAACAATGCCACCCGAAGCCTTACTCAGATTCTGAGCCGGATAGTTGAAAATATCCTTATGAATGGGGGAAACACCGCCTCCAAATTCGCGGGGAGCCATCTTTACACTTGCTTGCGAAGGCTGGTTTTCCCAGTCCAAATTGTCTTCCAAAGTACGAATGGTATTCAAAATGTTGGCAGGTCGTGGGTATGGTGCGTGTACTTGCTGCTGATTCATGGTTGGCCCAACCATTGAGAAGGGGAAAAGGTGTTTTTTACTCTTGTTTATTGTGTTCATATTGCTGATAGGACGTCCTGACATGTTGTTAGCTATCCGTTGTTGTGTTTGATTCATTATTGTATGATTACACGGTGAAGAATAGAATGGCTTTTGCGTTTTATATGGTTGTTTGGTTGATTGACTGACCAATTGTGATGTTAACAATAATGAGGTAATGAGGTAATTTATTTATATTGTGTATAATAATGATATAAAAAATAATAATTATAATTGATGATGATGATGATGATTCAAATAATTTAAATAATAAATATTATTTTCTTTCCAAAAGAAAAGCAGCGGTATTATTTATTATTTATTATTTTTTTCTTTTGTTGTTATTTTTATTATTGCTGCTCTTTTTTGTTAACAACAAAGTGGAAACCCAAAAAACCATAGACACTGATGTAAGATAATAATGATGATAATAAACCGCAAAAAAATTTTGGAAAGTTGATATTTTATACGAAAATTAAAAAAGAAGAAAGGGAAGTGATGAGAGAACACTCGTTGTGGTAGAACGAGAGCTCCAGGATGCTTTACTTTTATACCGTTTCCATCAAGAATGAAATGAAATAATGATGATGCTTGTTTTTAATTGTGTGTGAACATTTAAGTATTATATTATATTATATTATGATATAAGATTCCGGAAGAGGGAAAGTATATAAAATTTGAGTTAACCCTCGTAGTGGTAGTAATGCTAGTTAGGATTTTTTCATGTTGGTCTTAAAGTAAACGTTCAAAAAATAAATAAATAAATAACGATAAATAAATAAAGATAAATAAAAAAATAAATCAGTCAATAAGTCAGGTCAATCAATCAATCAATCAATTATTTAAGTATGCTTGAAAAATTGCATAAATAAAGAATAAATATTATGATTATTATTATATGTATTCAAGTTATTACAAGGTAAAAGACTACCATGCAACGCAGAAAGCTGAGATCTACCTATACATAAGACAATATCGCTATTTATGTTAATTGATAATATATTAGTGTTCATCCCACGCATCCATTTATTTTCGCTATTATTAAACATCAAAACGTATTATCAATGTCAATTGTAAAAATGCAAATGATATATATTATATATATATATATATGTATATATATAATGTATCATTTGCATTTATTTCCTCGTTACCTAAAGAAAGGAGAAGAGTCATTTCTCAAGCATAATTAGATTTAAGAAATGAATCGATGGTTGGGGGGAGGGACATTAAAAGAAATTGATAAGCAAAATGTCTCCATTCATAAAGGATTGATATCCATTATCCATTTATATCCTTTTACAAATAAAAAACCCGTAACATCTCGCCGCCACTTCCATTTTTATTTGAATCCGTCCAGTCACGTTCTTAGTCCCAATTCCGAATTCCGATCAAAACCCCAAAATGTTTGAATGCGAGTTGCATTCCTGTTCCGCATCTTGTATTTGTAGCGCACACAATACTTTTATAGGCATATAAGCATTCCGGTGTGGTGGTGTTGGATATAGAAAACCTTCTTTATTGTCATCTATGATGGTACGGTTTATCGAAGATTAAGTTTTGTATATTATTGCTGTGCACAATCAAACAAGGCTTCTAAAGAATGTGGTTTTTTATGCGCATTTAGCCAATGACGAATGATAAACGAAAGGATGATGATATTTTTTTTAAAGCTCGTGATCATCACATTATCTTTGAAGGATTTTTCCAGTCTCTACTCAAATTCCACCGAAACAAGTAGACTCAGTCGGTATATCTCAAAAATGCACATGTATTATGTATGTGTATTATCCGCAATATATAGGTGTATATACATAAATATATATAAAGATATATATATATATATATATATATAAAGATATTTATATATATATATATATATATATATATGTCTCTCTCTCTCTCTTCTCTTTATATGTTGCAATATACCGTATAATATAATAATACTTTTGTCAATCAATTCGCAAATTTAAAAAAAACTTTTCACTCGAACACTAAAAAAGACAAAACGTGTATATGTCTCACAATAAACACAGAGATTGCCTTACAACACAGATTTCCCTGAGGAACATAACACAACAACTACAACGACAACAAACAAAAACTATACATAACATATGCAATCACCGTTGAATTTGGTAAGTGTTCATGAGTTGAATCTCTGATGTAAAAAAATGAACGATTAATTAGTATTGAATAGAATAAGCAGAAAAAAATAGACTATTAAAGAGAACAATAGGAGCTAAACCACGGAAAAGTGCGTTAATATAAAATTGGTATAGTATCGAGTATATGTGTGTTCCTGTCCTTCTTTTTATTGTCGGTCACTTAGGGTACACTTCCATTATTGTGTATCGGGTAATATATGAGATGATTGGTTTTTTCCCTATTCCTTTATTCTTTCATTCTTTAGTTATTTTATCCTTCATTATTTCCCAATAAATCATTATCATTCGAGAAAAGATTTGGAGAATTCATGCATATAAAAAACCGGCGATAGTTCGTGTGTGTGTAATACCGTCAACCTGAAAGATTCTATTGGATAAAAAGCGATTTGTGGAAACCCACCTGACCCTATTTGGTTTTTGCCTATTACAGTACATTTATATGATATAATAAAATAAATTACATAAATTCCTATTGTGTCGTGTGTCACATGTTATGCATATGTAAGTGCGTCAATTTATTTATTTGCGTATGTATATGTATAAGTATGCGTCTGTTGTGCGGCTTTCAATTGACGGTCAAAATTATTTACGTTTTGTTTTGATGTTTATTTCTATTGTATCGTATATCTGAATTATTTTGGAAAAGTTGCGCGTGTTTGGGTTCTTCGTTCCACCAATTATTATTTCATACTTTCTCGTACGAGCAGTTGAATAATTCTGATTAATTGACTAATATTACCGTTCATGTGTTATCTATGTGGATTTTTGTTCGTGTTGCGTAGGTAGATAATTAATTTAATCGGTTCATTGATGTATAACTTTCGCGTAAATAATATTGATATCTCGCATTTACCTTACCAGGGATTTTAAGGATGCACATGTTAGTTAGTCCCATGTACTACTACCACCACCACTACACTGCTACCACCACCATATAAATGATATTCGAATTGACCCTGTCAAAAAAATAAAATCCGTGACCGTGGATGATGAAATGCACAGCCATTTGATCCATAATTATACTAATCTACCGACTTACATCAATAAAAAAATTACTTTTATGCTTATGTAGCTCGCTTGACTCCGAAAACTCCGATTAATACATGACCCCAAAACTTTTAATATATTGTGATTTTTTTTTCAAACCTTGTCTTTGGTAAAATATCATCATCATTATGACGCAGATGAAATCCGTTAAACGTTCGAATAAAATTCCACGAAATACGACGATCATCTATGGAAGATGATAATAATAATCGAAAATTTTTTGAAAACCATGTAAAATGTATGGTGATTTGAAATTCCCCAATGAACTGATTTCAATTGTTCGGTTATAATCACATACATTGATTTTAGTCCAAATATACAGATAAATGCTAATAAACTATGTGTACTCCTCAATTTCACACGAGACTTTCACACGTAATGTATAACCTGCTGTACCGGTTGCCAGAACCAGTATTAATCTTTGATTATTAATAAGTTTTAGCATGGTAAACGCAAAAAAAATTCTTTTGGGGAGATTCAAAGACAATGTTTTTTTAATGATAATGATGCACATATAGGGAAATTTTTATCTAGGAAATATTGCAGCTAATCAACAAAAAAGCCGTTTCTCCCAAGGTTTATGTCTAGAAACGAAAAATAGAATTGGGCGATTAAATCTCCACTTTACCTTCTTGGGAATATCTCGTTCGACAAGGTACAAGCATGAATCTCGTTATCTCACAAATACTACCCTTTTTTTTTTCTCTATTCTAAATCAAAAAGGAAAAACAGAAGTAAAAAAAAATGCGAGGGGAGAGGAAAAATTTATTATAACCAGTGTTAAACAGGTTGAAAATTCACATTTATTTATATTTATTTATAACGGTTGAAAAGTTAACCAGGCATTCATACATATGCAGTAGCAGCATCAACATCAACATCAACATCAACATCAATATCGACGTCAACTTCATCATTCATTAGTAACGCCGACATTGCTTCTATTTTTTGTTTTTCAAAAGATGCGAAAAGCTCATTGAAATTTCTTCTTTTGTTTTATTGACAACAAACTATTATGGTAAATATACATTTACAATATTTACAATACATACGGTATGTATCCACGTATATATATATATATATATACTGTATATATCTATCTATCTATCTATCTATCTACCTATCTATCTACTTACTTACTGTAAATATTATATGTATATATGTATTAGACTGTACAGACAGAGAAAATACAATAATGGGAAATTATCAACGTGAACACTAACCCTTCAATCACTTCAACTTTTGTTTGATGATATTTCTTTGTTTACTAGTGGAATAAAAACCTCCTCGCGTTTTTCATCTTTCTTCCTCTTCTTCTCTCTGATAAATAAAGATCCTCAATTTAACTAAAGTTTTTTGCGAAGTGAACGAAGAAATTGGGAAAAGATTACCAAATTAAACCTTAATAAACCGGTAATTAAGATTAAAGTTTAGATTGTGTGCATGATCATTGCTTCCTAAAACCATCTTTTGTCGAGGGTCACAAGTCATATTGTTTATTCTCATCGTTCCTGATGTCTCGCGCGCGCTGTCAATCATCATTCATACATAAAATAATAAATAAAATGCATATTCTTCCATCTTTAACCAACCTCCCCCTTGTCATTCTCGTGCGCGCGCGTTCGCATCATGCACAAAAATGTGTACACACTCCTCGCACAACAAAACAACTTCATCATTATCGAGAGATCTATTTTGACCAAAAGAAAAAGAACGATATTTGTGTTGTTTTGATGCGCGTATATTAATCTTAATTTTGTATTTCCTTCTATTCATCTTGCTATTCTTCGAATAATTAATTTGATTAATCTGTGTGTGCCAACGAGATAACAATGTACACCAATTAACGAAGGGGGGGGGGGGGGGGGGGGTTTGGTTGGGTTCGCTGTGACATTCGCGAATTAATGATCTGAACCATTTTGTGATCGTATTTTTTCATTATTCGAATCCTTTACAACCTAACCAAATGTGTAGATTTAATACTACCACCCACCCTTAGCAGTAGAAGAAAAAGAGTAGTAGAGTTAAATCATGTATTATATGTGGGAAACTATTTAAAATTTTTGAAATTCAGCCCTAAGCCTAAGTTACAAAATTAATTGTGCCATACAAGATAGGCGTATTTAGGTTACCGAAGTTGGATTCATTATTTTCATCATCGAGATTACCAACCAGTGGGTGGTAATCTAATACAAACACGAGGATTATACCAAAATTGTTTGTATTTGTGTACGCAATAAAAAAAAAATCTAAAAAATTGTCCTTTTTTTTTCAAACAAACAAACAAAATAACATAAAGAAACAATCCGAATTGCTTGTCATCAATTGTTCTCGCTACATGAATCGAAGGATCTCTTGTTATGCTTTTTCTTCATCGTTACATTCCGATCTTCCAAGTCGAAAATTGTTGATCTTCAAACTGAAATCGTGCTGTGTGTTTCCTTCTAATAACGGTAAAGGAGAACGAGACATTCAGCTCGTGTCTAATAACTTAGTGGCTGTACATGTGTCTCATTGCCTAAAGTTTATTCAATGAAATATAAAATCTCCGTTTGAATAATAAAATAACAATCATCATCATCATCATCATCATAACCCCTTGCACTTCAAAAATTAAATTTCTCTTTTTGTGTAAAGAGGCAACCGTTCAAAACGTTCAATAAATACACGAGGAATAAATAATGTCAACCAATTAAGCAATTGAAATCATGGGAAATCTCTATTGATTGGTAATTTATTCATGAAAAGGATAATGAACTCTTACGAATCGGATAACTAACCATCGATGTTTGTTTTAATAAAAAATTGGTGTCAGACATAATAAAGATCAAACAAGGAAGTGAAAAACCAAAAATAACATTTATTTCTATTCAGAATCATTCTTTCTTTATTACATGCGCATAAAAAAAGCGGAGAGTTATACCGGATAACTAGTTTTAAATGAATGCGTGAGGAAGAAAAGAGATATACAAAGAAAAACAATAATGTTTGTTATCCAACTCCAAGCGGAATCATTATAATTTTGACTTTTGATGTAACGAAAATTCAATGTATCCAAAATAGGTGAACGAATTGTTACCCTATTTGTTAATTTAAATGCTGTGTGGGGACGATTTCCGTAATTGAATAAAAATAAATTACTGTTTGAATAAAATACAATATATACGTACATACAGTATATACACACACTAATACACGCACATTTATATGTATATATATATATATATATATATATATATATATATATATATACATATCGATATTGATCTAACTCCCATATCTTAAGAAAAAAAAATTTCTTCGTCATTATGTTTACTCATTCGTTGAAACTTACTGATCTTGGACTAATGAGTTGAATCCCATTGAGGTTCAATATACGTATTTTCTTTGAATTTGAATTTCCACTCCTGAAATTCGTGGAATTTGTCTAAAATTCGATTTTTTGTCTATTTATAATTTTTTTTTGGAAATTTACTTTTGCTCTTTTTATTTTAGACCTCAAGTTCATGCCGATTTTTGCCAAATTGATGATATTTTGCGTAAGTGTCCAATTTTTATTTCTTATAAATTATAATAATATTATTATAATGTTAAGACACATTCTTTAAAAAACCAAAAATTATAACTTGTATTGTTTCAGAATAATCTTAAAATCATCATCACAACAATTGCTATTACTTTTCTTAATATTGTTATGGTTATTATTGTTGTCACCATTAACACTTGAAATAAATACTTCACTAGAACGACTAACTTTATCTATCGGAAATTCCGATGATAGAACAAATAGAATCTATGTCGGGGACTTTTTTTCTGGAATTGTTTGTTAGAAATTGACGCGGGCGAGAATTGATATCCGTAATTGGATAAATTATTTGTCATTTTTGGTGTTTAATTTTTCAACCTTTCATAGTTTTTACGAAAGTAGTGCGACAAATTTGTAATTCATCCATATCTGGAATTTTACCAAAATATATATTTTTCTTTCCTAAATGCATTACTTGCACAGAAATTCCAAACTATAGAACATATTTTCCTCAAAATAATCACCACTTCATGCGGGGTAGTAAAGTAGTTGCATGCATTTTCAAAAAAAAAATATACTAACAAATAATCTTGGGACATATACCATTTCGAGTATATATACATTTATCTTTTTATTGTTTTGATACATTGTCGTATTTTGGTGAGAATTTAAGATATCGAAGTGTGGGCTTTATTTAATTGCTGCTATTAACCTGTTTATTATAATCTCAAAGACAAAAATCCCATTGACTAGAAATATCCGATGAGAAAAATTGATTATGAGAACTTTTATCGTGAAAAATCATATCGTGCGAAATTCCTTTTTCGTAATTGTCGCCGTTGCTTTTTTTTGACAGATTATATTTGATCATTGTCATTTCCATTCAAAGACCGTTTTTTGAGAATAAAATTATCGAAATAACACAACTTCAAGAATTTTAAATCTCATCTTTTATGTAATCACGTAGAAGATTTTCTTCCGTGATTGATGAAATCACAAGTCTTGTTTATTTACATTTTCTCCTAAAGAATTCATCAAACGAAAGGAAAAAATTCTAGAACAAAGGCGAAAGGGGCATCAAAAGAAATAAAAATCAATCGACAAAAGGCCCAAAAGAAAACGAGAGGATCCTGAAGAAAAAAATCGGCATCTCTCAGAAATCAAGAATAATTAAATTTACAAGAAAAAAACGTTTATTTTAAAGCACGAGGATATGTAACAATAAACGTAAATTATTCAGTCGATTTAATATAATTATAAACCTTTTTGAGTTAGTGGGAGTGGTATTAGATGATGATAGATTTCTCGACATCTTCGGAAGATTGTGGTAATAAAGTTGTCATAGTTGGTTCTTCAACAGCTTTTTCCTTTTTTTGCTGATTCTTAACTTTTTGATATATGGCTAAAGCCTTATAGGAAAAGCGAAACAATTGATAAATGAATATGAGAAGGAGAGATTTTACCATATTCATATAAAAATTTTATTACCTGTGCAATCATCGATCCAGCGTCACTAGTGGAAGCAGGCACAATAATGGATGTGCTCTCTTTTGCAAGTTGTCCAAATGCTTCCACATACTTTTCCGCGACTGTGAGTGCAACCGCATCAGAGCCACTGGGCGAATCATTAATCGAGCTGGCAATGCGTCGGATTCCTTCAGCGGTTGCAGACGCGCGCATAAGTATAGCTTCAGCCTCACCTAAAAGTATAATCTGTTTCTTGGCATCATAAAACATAAAAAACAAAAAAATGCCCAAGAAAAAAAGACTAGCATCTAAAGAACAACGAACCTGAAGCTCTATTAACTTGTTCAGCTTTAACGGCCTCAGAAGCTAGAATTACCGATTGCTTATTACCTTCCGCGACATTAATAGCAGCTTGGCGTTGACCTTTTATTTGTGTGAGCATAAAGGTATATGGATAATTCATAACAAGTTGAGAGGAACAACCACGGAGTACAACGTCAAAGTATATGCACCTTCGGATTCAAGAATTGACGCTCTTTTAGACCGTTCGGCAGAAACTTGCTGATGCATAGATTCAACCACCTTTGATGGCGGATGTATATCACCTTTATGCCATCAAAAAAGAAAATTAATCAATCTAAAGCATAATTTACTACTAAACGAAATAGACTGGAGAACACACGTATTTCGTATCTTAGACATCGAATTCCCCAGGCATCAGCAGCACTATTAATTGCCTCCACAATATTAGCATTCAGTAGTGCACGTTCTGCCAAGGTTCGATCCAGAGTCATTTGTCCAATTTCAGCACGCATGGTAGTCTGTGCAAGTTGTGCTACTGCATATTCCGCATCTTCGACTCCATATGAAGCCTAATCAAAAAAAAAACACAAAAAAGAATCATTATATAAAGACATGGAAACGCTTTTTTAGATATAAAATCAACGTTTAAAGTAACCTTGTAAGGATCAACGACTTTGATATACAAGACACCATCCAATTCTAAAGTCACATTATCTAAAAGAATAATAATTTGAGGCATGTAAGTAAATTAACGAGTATCAGCCAATTCGTAAATTGAAGGTCAAATATCACGATTCCGAACCTTGTGTAATTGCGCTTTGTGCCGGTATATTCAAACACAATTCTTTCAAGCTCTTTACATATTTAATGCGATCTACGATTGGAATGACGATGGCAAGCCCTGGTTCTAAAAGTCGATGAAACTATGGAAGATCGTGATTTAATTTCTTTTGCTCCTTTTTCTTTTAAAAAATATGAAAACCCTTACCTTTCCGAATCTTTCCACAATCCACGCCTCTTGTTGTGGAACAAAATTGATGATCTAGAAGATAGATGCCGGATCTTTATTATACTGACACAAAGAACAAGGCCGGCATGCAATTAATTCTCAAAAATGGTTATATAGTCTTCACCGTATTTCGTGGTAACCTTGTTCGTGCACGAAAATCTGTTACTGAATATTCGTCTCCCGGGTTACCATATGTTCCACTATATTGTGTAAAGAGAGAGCTTGAAGAGCCAGAAAAGAGGCGATATGTAACCTGAAGTAACTCAAAGTATTAATAAATTGGCAATTCAAGAGGACATTATATTTAAATTATAATACCAAATTGCCTCCTCTTTGCGCGTATATCGAAAGGGTAGAAGAATTTTGTGCAAGTAAAAAGTGATTTTTTTTCAGGAAAGATAAAGTTTGCCTTGCCAATGCCATTCTTTCGCTTTTAGTAAATTTCTAAAAATTCAAAAAATTATTGAATCGGAAAAACATATGACGTCATGTTTCATTATGATCTAGGATAGAATTTCAAACCAACACGAAAAGAAATTTTCAAATGAGTTCCCAACATTTAATTCCTCCACTGGTAAGTTTGCTTACTTTTTCTTGTAATGTTCCAATAACAAACGCCATATAATGCATTCCCTGGTAGGATACTCGGTTCGAACAAAGATATTTGGGGAATTTATTTGATCTTGTTTATTTATGTTCAAGATGAACATGAGTTCTTACAAATAGTAGTTAATTTTTAAACCAGGGAATAATTCTCAAGAGATGCAGTGTTTGTTACTGGAAATTTACGCACATTCACAAAATATTAATTACATTTTACATTTAGAATTATGGAATGATCGAAGAGGCCTTGTATCGTTCAGGTCAACCAAACGAGCTCAATTTTCCATTCTTGGAGAAGCTCGGACTAAAAACTGTGGTCTGGCTAGCACCGGAGGAACCGAATCAGCGATTGTAATTATTCTCTCTCTCTCTCTCTCTCTCTCTCTCTCTCTCTGCGTGTGTGTGCGTGTGCGCGCGCGTATATGTGCATAAATATATATTCAAGATCTTGAATAATACTAACATGCAAAAATATATATAAAGTCTTAATTTCATTGACGATCAAGAAATAAAACTTCATCATCTTGGCGTGATATCATCTGCAAATGCTTGGGACCCAATAACAGAAGAAGTGGTCTTGGAGGCATTAGAGTTGATTCTTAATCCGAGAAATTATCCAATGATCATAATGTGTAATTTAGGCAGACATAGGACTGGTTGGTCCTCTCTAATGAAAATAATAAAATTCTTATTACTGATATCTATGTTGAAATTTATCATTTCATTGGAATTATTTAATAATATTATTATTTTTTTGATGATTATTGAACTAGCAATGGTTATATATCGAAATAATTGATTCTATTCTGTTTTTTATCCACACAAAATCCTAAATCATATACAAAAGGTACAATCGTGGGATGTCTTCGTAAACTTCAACGATGGAATCTTACGTCAATATTTGAAGAGTATCGTCGATACGCTGGACCAAAAGTTCGTGTTCTCAATGAACAATTCATTGAGTTATTCGATACTGATCTAGTGAGAGTGCCTGTTAATAGTCCAAAATGGCTTTAAGACGTTTTTGATGTCGAATAGAATAATTATGATTTATTCTAAAACTTCTCTATTTATTTGCAATTAACCCGTTTCACTACCAACACAGTAATCACGATTTTTTATAAAATTTTTTTTATTTTTTTTTTATTGGTTCATTAATTCAAATAATAAATAACATTCTCAAAAAAACGGAGAGTATATATATGTGTGGGTATATATATATATAAATGTATATATTATATTATATTAATGAAATTCTTCTGAATAATGATAATAATAAAAAGCAGAAGAAAGAAAAACAGAACTTTTGTTTATTGATTCAGAAGTAAGAAACTTAATTCCACTACAAATAACAAACAAAAGTTACGACTGCTTCTATTTAAATTGCCCCATAAGTTCAAGTAAAGTTAGTGACGCTGATCAAACAGAGATGTATATAATATAATATAATATAATATATAGAAGGGAAATTGAATAAATAATATATTATCATTATTATTCATGTTAAATTTCAGGAATAGATCGAAAAGAGAGGAGAATATTTATGAAGATAATAAAATATTAAGATGAAACAAAAGCAGCTAATGAGACTTGGGGCATGTAAAAACATATAATAAAGAGGAACAAATAAAAATATATGAAACGCACCAAATTATATAAAGATTTTGAATGGTGTACACACTAAATAAGAACTACTAATAAGATCTAACATATAATAAGTTTAAAAAATTTGACACTAAAATAATACTATTTAATAAATATAAAAGACCATTTAAAGACGAGAATGATAATAAGTATAGATAAATAGACGATAATCACTCAAATACGTATATTGTACGTTGTAATCCATTCATTGATCTGCGGAATCTTAAACGGTAGTTACGGTTCTTTATTCTCCGGTAGTTACGGGTTCTTTATTCTCCTCAGTTGTAGCGGATTCTTCGGCTACACCTGAATTCGGCTTCTCTTCACTAACACCAACTTGCTGAGCGTGTTGGTCACTCAACGCAATTTTGATGACCAATTCTCGTTCTTCGGATTTAACTCCTTTGAGCCCTTCAAGGGCCCTCTTTTGTTCTTCTTCATCAGCCAATTCCACGAATCCGAATCCCTTTGATCGACCGCCACGACGTTGAACAACATGAGCAGAGGTAACATTGTAATCTTTGAATATTTCTTTAAGTCCTTCGTCGGTGATCGAGAATGGGAGATTCGCCACAAATACAACCGTTTTGGATGGTTCACCGGTTTTAGCAGCTCCAGCTGCTTGATTGGAATTGTGTTGAGAACGACGACGAGATTGAAAACGTCCACGGCCACGACCACGTCCGCGTCCACCACGACGACGATAACCGCCACGATGTGGTTTTCCGGTGGTGTTTTCGTCTGCGTTGGTACCATTAGTATTTGGGGCATCAGAGGCAGTTACGGCTGTAGAGTCATTGTTTTCTGCGGCTTCTCCACCGTCTTCATTGTTGTTGTTATTAATATTATGACTATTACGACTTGAGAAGCGGCGACGACTTCCCTATTATTATACAATCAAAAAGCAATATTTAGTTATCATCTATTTAAAAAGTTTCAATTTAAAAATTTTGAATTTTGAACGCTTACCCAACCACCTCGGCCTCTGCCACGTCCACGACCCCTACCACGACCTCTACCTCTACCACGGAACCCAAACCTACCACGTCCACGACGCGCGCCAGAGGTATTATTTTGTTGGGCATCAGTAGCATGATTAGAGGTACTTTCATTCTTCGGTTTGGCAACTTCTACATTGATTAGGCGGCCACCCAAATCCTGTTTGTTGAGCTCTGCTACGGCTTTCTTGGATTCCTCTTCGGTTTCGAGAGCAACGAATCCATAACCAAGGGACCGAGTGCCGCGAGTAATGATATTGGCCTTAAGACTATTAAAGTTTTGGGTAAGGATTTGAACGATTGAAATTTAGTTTGTAATCAATCAATAAATTTGAACTCATCAAAAAATGTCAGGCAAAAGAGAAAGATTACATACACTTTTCCAACGCTGCCAAAAAAATCTGCGAGTTCTTCTTCGCTAGTTTGAAAGGACAAATTACCGACAAAGACCTTGTATCCAGCCTCTTCTTCTACGAGGGTTTCCTCCTTTGTAACTGTAGCTTCAACACTAACGGTCTTCTCTGTAACAGTCTCGATAGTAGTAGCAGTAGTAGTCACGGCAGTTGCTTCAGCGTCCGTCATGTTTAATTAATTACGTATAATTGCTTTATCTTCTGATGTATATGATGACTGCGATGTGATTAAATAATTCAAATAATTCTACTTTCTACGGAGGCGATACTAGTATTTGTCTCCTTTATGCAATGTTTTGCGGTCAAAGTTGCGTGCGCGCTCGTTTAGGGTCGTAAAAAGATCCCTTCACGTTTCCAGATGGTGAGAGTAAGGAAGGGAAACTCTATAATCTTGTATTTGTTGGATGCCTATAGGGACTAGCCGGACTGAAGGCTCCTTTTTTAATTTTTTAGGTCCACTAAAGGGCTAGGACGGATGGCAGGTATAAAATAGACACAGATGCTTTCTTTTGCTTTCACAGAATGCTTGAGCAAAAAATGGGTAAGGCGGAGAAATGGCCCACCAGTTCCCATCTTATTCTTTTTCGCCGTGAGACCATTGTGCTACGTTAATCCCAAAATTATTGGTTTTTCGCCATTTAACGTTTGTAATCCGAAAAAAAAAGCATTTTTCAATTCCTATTGTGGTTATTATCGTATGAATCATTTATTTTTTACTCGATCTGCGATTTCATTGATTCATTGATTCATTGATCGACGATTGGACAATGTCAACTTTTGTCCATATGTCGTAGTAATTTTTGGTAGCAGTCCAAATGTTCAAATGCCAATATTGCAATATAACATTGTCGATCAAAAAATATTAGATTGAAGATTGATATGAATACCATTAATAAAATTGAATATAATAAATTAGTTGCAGTAAAAAAAAATCTACATGTTAAATATAATATGCATCAAGAAAATCCGTCGCTTCTATCTATTATTTCTTTGCATAATATATATCAAATAATATAATCTCTCTCTCGAAAAAGTCCAAAAATATTTGTTAAACGCTGAAACCCATTATGAATAAGGAGGGTAAGCTTGACCAAATTGTGGCGGTGGATATGGTTGAGTTCCAGCCTGAGCAGGCGGGGGGTAAACATTAGTAGGAGGATATGCTTGCTGATTTGGATAAACATTATTATTTGGATAACCAGAATTATATTGATTAATCGGGGGATAAACGTTAGAAGGATAACCTCCACCACCAGAGGGCGTTGCAACTGGAACAGGGAAGGCCATGGGAACACTTGCATTTACTGGAGGAGGACTATTAAGAAGTGGCAAAGGTGAAGACATAGGCAAAGGTGAAGACTGTATGGGCGGAGAATTGATTGGTGGATATCCAGAAATACCACTTGCAGGCGGATATCCAGACGTGGCTGGTGGCTGAAGAGGTAGCGTGGCTTGATGTTGCTGGAATAGAAATTAATGTTAGAAATATATAAATTTTTCGTTATAATAATAACTTATACTTACTGGAGGTGGTCTGCTTTGGATTGCAGGCGAATAAAAAGTTCCCGACATCTGTTGTACAGGAGGATGCGGATAAGTAGAATTATTCACCGGAGGATAAACATTATTTTGAGGTTGATAATTGATTGCAGCTGGTGCAGAATTCGGACTAGTAGAAAGCGGAGGAGGATATTGAGAACTAACGGGTTGCTGTGGATAAGCTGTTGCTATGTTAGGAGATGTGTGTGCTGATAAAGATGATGTATGCGTTAAATTGTTATATGGTGGTTGCTGGTGAGGATTTGTTACTGGTGGGTGGCTTGGTGTATTAATTTGATTCTTTATTTCTTGTGGATTTGCATCTGACGGTGGTTTACCGGCACGATAAAAAGTTATTTCCAGAAAAATTTCACCTGCTTCTCGGTTTCGAAATTGCAGTGGGAACCAGTCTAATAATATCCAATAATTAATAAAAAAATAATGAAATCGAAAATAAAATTAATATTAAGAACAATTGATTTCAATAGGATCTTAACAAATTCCATACCATCCCACTCTCCCTCTGTTAAAACTTTATTCAACTCAATCACCGTTTCTCCAATTAAATCATGCTCGCGTTTATCCTCATTATACACTTGTATTTTCATTTTTTTATTACTGGGTTCATCTGTCAATTGAAAACGTATCTCCTCGTCCCATTCTGGATGTTGTCCACCACGTTTATCAGTTTTTGTTCTTTTAGCATTGCTACCAATACGAAAAGTGGCAAATGGATCCGCTTTCCCAATAGCTTCGCGATTTACCAAGTTTTTCTGTAAATATTTAATATGAATCAAATACTATTATTTATTTTTCTTATCACGCACACACATATACATATATATATATATATATTTAATATTCCGACACTATTATACGACTTGGTTTCTGTGGTAAATTTAAACACATTTATAACTTAAAACATGTTTTCTTCTCTTAAAAAGAAAAACTTACTGCTTTGAGCACCACAATAACGAGCTCGCCATAAATCTTGGGTGCAGGTTTAGAAGACATACCGCACGCAGTTTTATAAATTAAAAAACAATATAATAAAATCGAATTTAATTAAACATAATCATGATAAACATAAATAACTATACGTACGTATATAAATATCTAATTTTTGCATAAATATGATGTGTGGCGAAAGATCTACCTCATTAAACGTCCAATAATTCCCTAATGTGGCTGCACCTGCATATTCTTGGCATCTTTTTATTGAGTAACACGCGGGAAATTTACTTACATTTCATTGGCCGGGATTTTTTTTTGTCATGAGTAAAATTTTTTTCATTAACACTAAAAATTTTGCGTTCCTCCCGAAATGATGTCGAATATTGCGAAAAAAGGTTCTAATTTATCACAAGTACAAATGTAAACAGCTTTTTCACATCATATATAAATATCAAACTATCGTACCTCCTTTGACCTTTTTTTGCGTACATGTAGACATAAACTTTCAAAATCAGCCTATACTCGACATGCCTCCTCCACTACTTCAGAATTGAATAAATTTAGTAAAATTCTCACTCAGCCAAAGTCACAGGGTGGCGCGCAAGCAATGTGTAAGTGCTCAAATTGTAAATATTTGACAAGCACGAAAATATGTTACTCATTTATTAATTTGCCTTATGACAAGTGTATGGTACCGGGTTAAAACCAGAGGATATGAGTAAAGCTCAAGTGGGAATTGCAAGCGTGTATGCTTTATTTACTTGATTTTGCATAAAGATCGTGACTGGGTTATTGAAAATGTGATGTGCTTATTCCCAAAAAGTTGGTATGAAGGTAATCCGTGTAATATGCATCTTCTCGATTTGGCTGCAAAAGTAAAAGAAGGTGTACAAAAAGCTGGATTGATCGGTTTCAGATTTAACACTGTGGGTGTTAGTGATGCCATAAGTATGGGCACCCGCGCAATGAGCTACTCGTTACAAAGTCGCGATCTCATTGCGGATTCAATTGAGACGGTAGTTTTTAATTCTAAACCAATTGTTTTTTAACATTTATATTAGATTAATAAATATATAATTTGAATAATGATACAGGTTATGGGTGGTCAATGGTATGATGCAAATATAGCAATTCCTGGTTGTGACAAAAACATGCCCGGTTGTTTAATTGCAATGGCGCGACACAATCGTCCTTCCCTTATGATTTATGGTGGAACTATTCGTCCTGGCCAATCGCGGTGTGGTCAAGGGACTTTAGATGTCATATCAGCTTTTCAAGCCTATGGCTCATTTGTTGCTGGAAAGATAACTGAAGAACAACGATACGATATAGTGAGTAATGCTTGTCCCGGAGCTGGAGCTTGTGGGGGAATGTACACAGCAAACACAAGTACTTGATTATAAATTTATTCTTTTTAATTTCTTTGATCGTTTCCTTGATAAATACAATGGTTGAATTGTATTTTAGTGTCTTCTGCTATTGAGGCGATGGGTATGTCACTACCCTATAGCAGTTCTACACCGGCAGAATATCCTGAGAAAGTTAAAGAATGTATTGAGGCCGGAAATGCTATTCTGAACCTTCTAGAAAAAGACATCAAACCTCGCGACATTATGACTCGAAAATCTTTTGAAAACGCGATTGTAACAACTATGATACTAGGCGGTTCTACCAATGCCGTATTGCATCTGATTGCAATTGCCAAAGCTGTAAATGTTGAATTAAATTTGGATGATTTTCAGAAAATTAGTGATTCTACTCCATTCTTGGCAAATCTTAAACCTAGGTAAGGTTCTTGGATTTTATTGTTTTTTGTTGCATTTTCTAGCCTCATTATATATACAAGTTTGCTATTGTGAAGTGGGAAATATGTAATGGAAGATTTACACAAAATAGGTGGAATACCCGGTAAGTTTGCAATCATTTGATTACAAGTGAAATTCTCGACAGATTTTAATATATTATAAATTTCAATAAGCACTTCTCAAATACTTGTTGCAGAACAATCTTATTCACGGTGACATCCTAACTGTAACTGGCAAGACTCTCGCCGAAAATCTCGAGAATGTCGATGAACTTAAATTTGACCAAGACATTATTCGCCCTCTATCGGATCCCATCAAACCAACCGGCCATATTCAAATCCTCCGTGGCAATCTAGCACCAGAAGGCGCGGTCGCGAAAATTACTGGTAAAGAAGGACTCTTCTTTAAAGGCGTAGCCAAAGTATTTGATGGAGAAGAGGAGATGTTAAGGGCATTCGAAAAAGACGAAATAAAGAAAGGACAAGTAATTATTATTCGGTATGAAGGTCCTAAAGGTGGTCCTGGAATGCCTGAGATGTGCAAGTATTCTTTAATTAGGATACCCTTTTTATTTTTGACCTCTATTCTCTAATTTTTGACTTATTATTTTGATAGTGACACCTACAAGTGCCATTATGGGTGCAGGTCTTGGTAAAGATGTAGCCTTATTGACTGATGGTCGTTTCTCTGGAGGAAGCCATGTAAATTTTTTTCACCCTAATAGTTAGTTTTATTTTCAGATGACATGCAAAATAACCCGTTTAATTCTTTTCGTTGGAAGGGATTTATTATTGGACATATAACGCCTGAAGCTCAACTTGGGGGACCAATTGCTCTTGTTCAAGATGGTGATGTAATCACCATTGATGCTCAACAAAGATTCATACAAGTTGATATTTCCGATGAAGAATTTGCACGAAGAAAGTCCAATTGGAAAGCGCCTCCGTTTAAAATGACACGAGGAACATTATATAAATATATAAAAAATGTTAAAACGGCGACCGAAGGTTGTGTCACTGATGAATAAGAATAAATATACGAGTATTAAAAGATGATTCATCAAAATATAATATCCATGCCTAGATTTCTAAAGAGGGCCATGATTTTTTATTTTTTACTTTCTGTTAATTACTATTATGATGATTGTACTCAAGTGATCGATTACACTTCGTTAAATGAAGTCTCCCCTTTAGTTGTTATTGCCTCAACCAATTTTCCATGAGGAACCGGAATTTTTCCAGTCGCCCAATTGTAAAGACGCCTAATAAATTATTAGATTATCTATCAGAAATTAAAAATAAAAGAAAACCAAAATTATATCTCTACATACTGAGCTAATGTTTCAATAGGTGTGTGTGATGAGAAATCGGCATTTGGGCTTGATTCGCGTGCATTCGGTGTGTCGATCATTTTTCTATTTAAGAGTCATCGAACAGGGGGAGAAATAATACTGTTGTGGTTTTATTTCGAGAATAATATTTTTATTGACTTACGGTAAAAGTCCCACGACTTTAGTTTTTGCAGGTAACCCGGATTTTGGAGAAGCTAGACTATGCACAAGCTGGTGTACTCCCGCTTTGGCAACACCATATCCTATGAATCCTATTTAAAACATTAAATGGATCAATACAAGGATGCTCTTCGCAAAAAAAAAAAATACAAGCGATAAGCATTACCAGGGGTTGCGCGTAATCCAGCGGTACCGGTTACCGTAAATAAGCCACCTCTGAATTATATAACCAGAAATTCTTCAATGCTTACCATTAACCTAATTAATTAATAGCTTTGTTGTATCTGTTTTCTTTTCCACTTACTCTTGAAGCTGATGAGCAGCCAATCTCGCAGAAATCAAACTAGACCACAGAGACTTTTTTAGCATAAGATCTGAATTTTTCAGGAAATCTACATCGAATCCAACGGAGATTTATTGCTTTCATTGTAAAAAATTTTTGAGGTCTAAAATTTCTAAAATTTCTAAAATTAGGGATACCTTTGTGAGCAGCGTTACCCATTTCGAAACCACCAGCAACACACAAAACTGCAGCATATTTTTCTCCTTTTAAATATTCGTTTGACTCTCGCAAGACCTGTTCACCTTGCTGTTCAAGGGAAGTGTCTAACGAGACCACGATATTGTGCGTTGCTTGTTTGTTAGGTCGCGTACCTACAGAAGTTACGATCTAATATAGGAATAACGTTAGGATCGAATATGTGACTATGTGAACGACGATAGTTTCATAAATAGCGTACCCAATTTTGTGAGGAAAAAAGTGAAACTACTCCGTTGCCTAAAGCGCCTGAGCCACCATATACTAGCACTCTTGATGTCATCTTGTAAAGGAAGGAAAAAGTGCACAATTATCACATTTTTAATAGATCATACACGTGTATTGATTCAGAATTTAACAATGGTTTTATATTTTATAAAAACCGTTTCTCTTATTATAAAGATAATTGAAATTTTTGACTAAATAATAGTGAGAATATTGATAATTTCTTATTACATTGCGAATGTTACACTACTTGAGAAAAAAAAACTGTACAAATATGAATTTTGGTATATGATCAATCGGAAGATGACTAACTCGGAGAGTAAGATATTAGCTGAGATTAAAATTAGATAAAATGATATAAGAAATATGATGGAAAATACAAAAGATATCAATGCATCATCAAATACAAAAACTAATGCTCAGCTAATTTTTCCGATTTCCGTCTGTATTGTTATTTAGTAACGTAAGGAATTTTGTTGTCCATTCATTTGATTTTGTGGCATATGTGGAACGTGTGTCATTTGAAGTTGTCCCTGTACATTTCCAGGAATATTTCCACCGTTTTGCATATTATTAGATACCATTCCAACACCCATTGAAACGCCAGCGGGATTCATTCCGGAGATCGACGAAGTGATTCCCGCGACACTTTGCATTGTATCTAGTCCCATAACGCCATTTGCTTGATTTGTGATTGGACAATCTTTATGTGCAAGTAACAATGTTTTTAAATTGAGAATCTCTTCGCGTAATTGTGTGGCCTGATTCTGCAAACTCTCATTGTCTTGAGTAAGATATTCAACTTTCGCTTGCAAGTTGGCAAGCCATTGTTTCTTGCGTTGACGACATTTAAGTGCGGCTTGTCAACCGTAACAGAAATTACAAAATTAATTAATTAGTTATGAACTATAATATTTAAACCACGAAAAAACTAAAATTATCTATAAGACAAAATACCTTGTCGGTTCCTTTCCAAGAAATTTCGACGTTTTTCCTCCATAGACATTTCTTCTTTTGGTTTCTGCTGTTGAGTGTTGGCTCTCTTTGATGGCGGTTGCTGATCAGCAAGATTATCTTCTGTTTTTCGTCGTCCGTTCCTCACTCCTGTTTTGCGGTTGGTAGTCGACGTAGCGCTTACATTATTCATATTATGAACATTCATTTGCGAATCCATATTATCAAATTGTTCATCATCATAGCCATCGTCAGACGAGGCTGCACTATTTGTGGCTGTTACATTTGAACTTGTCGGTCCTGTATATCCTCCGTTATTATGCGTTGAATATAAGTTGTTGTTGTTATTATTATTATTATTATTATTATTATTATTATTGATTTGTACAAGAGAAATGAGCTCTTCATTTTCGGTTTTTGGTACAATTGCCTCCGAAATCCCCACTCCGTTTCTTAGGTTTTGTTGTGTTTTATTAACTAGAACAGCGCTCGACAAGCCTCTATTGTTAAGATTTTGATTATTAACAATCACAGTTTGAGGTACCAGCGGATTGGTAACCAATGAGTTTGTAGTTGAGGATGTTGATGTTGGATTTGTTGATGCATTAGGAATGCTTATAAGACCATTTGGGGCAACAGGTGCCGGCGGAATTACTGACGATGTAGTTGTTTGGATGGTGTTGTTATTGTTATTGCTGGTGGTGGTGGAGGTAGTATTATTAGTTGTGGTAATTGTGTTGGCATTTGTTCCGATTTTAGGAACCCCTTGAAAGATTACGTTATGACCATAAGGATCTAAACTATTCATATTTAGCATTGGCATTGCATTTGGATTAACCATAGATGATGTGATGTTTCCATTGACAGCACTGCCAAAAAGTGATGAATCCGTAAAGTTGCCGTATGGTGTTGTGCCAGTTCGTCCATTTTGTGCAAGATCATCAAAAGCAACAGGATTTTGGGGCCCCTCCAACATAGAAGGTGACAAAGGCCCACTTCGCAACGATTGCAAATTCCATCCATATTGACATTCATTGGGTTGTATTCCTGCAGATGGACTTGTGATCGCCGCAACAGGTGGTAAACTAGGTTTCGGACTTTGTGTTCCATTCTCTTGAGTTGGCGTAACGTGTGAGAAACTTTGTTCGAATGGATTAGGTTCCAGATCTAATTTAGAGCATCCTGCTAAAAAGCGCGATGGTGTCTGATCGGAATTGTTGTTCTGGCCAAGATCTTTGCCTGGCGGAAATTTATTTAATGTTGTGGAGTTTTTTCGTGATGATGTGGATTGTGGGGCTGCTACATTATTATTACGAGTCTCAGAATTACTACTTTGTGGTGTAGATATTTCGGAATCTGAGATTATTGGTAGATTAAAGATTCAGATGGGAAATAAGATTTAAAAGTTAGAAATAATTTTCAAAGAAATCATTAACCGTTGACAGAAAGAATTGAAATACCATCACTCCCGGGCGAAGATTTGTTAGAAGGTGATGGTATATTATTGTTGGATACCATTTTTCTCGATAGAATTTATCTACTTTTCGGATAATGGATATAATGCTAAAGTATTTTATAAAATACAACATTTTTTATGTTTATTTTATTAATAAAGCTTTTATATTTTTCCCAGTGTTTTCTCTCTTCAAAAGACGTCATTAAAATATTTGAACTCAGGTAATAAATAATTTGTGAGCTTATTAATTCGTCGAAATATAAATTAAGAAAAATTGAATTTGTCGTCATAAATACGAAAGAATAATGATTTCAATGTTTATGTTCTTCGACTGAATCTTTGACAGGAATTGTTTTGAGGATTAAGTTGTAAGTCCCACCCACATACCAGATGTTTCTAATAGACAAGTACCTTTGTACGTATCGGAACGCGAACGCAAGCCAAAATCTAACAGCGAAAATAATGAGGATATCTCCTTTTGCAATACGAAGGCGAAAATGTTGTTGGTTGATTTTCGTTTGTCGGTTTACTATAGTATGTAGAGCTCTCTCTAATAAAAAAAATGGGAAGAAAAAAAAGTTGATATATGAACCATGTACGATAAAGTAATACTAATACGTTGTTTTAGTTTTTTTTTGGTGGTTTGTGTGCGAAAAGAGTCAATTGAACTGCAACAACGACAAAGTGTTACTGAGTGAGAAAATGGCCAGTCCGTGGCACCTAGATTCCCAATATATTATATAACCTAAATATAAATTTTTGCTACTTTAAAAAAAATCCATGACCAAGTCATTACGTCATTTACCTGATAATTGATTTGTTTGATTTGTGGAACAAATTATTTTTTTCATAGGATTCCGCCAAAACTCGGGATTCGTACATAACAATATATAGATAATTGATTTATACGAAAATTTACAAATGTGTGTGCGCGCGCATTTTCACTATACTTTTTCTAACATTGTGTATTTTGTTGGTAAATCTTTTTTCCTTATCTAATCGAGTATTACCTCCTCTGTATAAATCAAAAAACGTTAATAAAAAAGAAATACCGATCGGTGGAATTTTCTACAAAACGATCTGACGAATGAGTGAATGTTTAAGACATAATTTGTCGAATGTCATTCATTATCTGTCAGAATTTTACCACAATGCTGATGGGCCTTCAAAATTTCAGCAATCAAACCTTATTTGGTATTTACTGTACAATGATATATATGTGTTGTACTAGTGTTGTGCTAATATATCACACACACATGATCACGAAAAATTTAAGAATGAAACATAGATAATTTTGACAATATATCGTCATTTCTATCTGCTAAAAAGGAATTTAGTAATAATTGAGAGATATATGTTTTTTCAAAATCTTACCTAGATAAATATGTATCTACAGGACAGGATATGTCATAATACAGACACAAATAAATAAAGATAGCATAGGTGGAAATTTTGCTAGCATAATTGATTGGACAAATCATCAATATTCCCAATTCCAGATTGAATGTATGATATATGTGATCCAATCAGATTTTTCATCATATTTTTTCCAAATTTCAATTATATTAGGTACTTTACGTAGAGACCTTGAGAAGGCAAAAGTTGTCATCCATCCATCCTATCCATGACTTCTGTGGCCTCTCAAAATCCTTTTGACCTCCTCGAGGATGACGCCGAGGAAGTCGACATTATCGTTGAAGGAAACCGACAAGAGACAACATCAACATCGACAACGACCGAGCCTCCCGTTATAAAACCAAAAGTTGATAGGTCTCGTGCAAGCCGTACAGAAGCTAGAATTCGTCACGAGTACCCGCAGCGCGGAGGCTTTAAGAACGCGCCGTCACCAAGGAATAATAACAATATCAACAATAATAACGACACAAGAAATGAAGAACCTAGATCTGGTGGGTGTTCTTTGAACATGCGTGCCTTTGAAATAATGGTGTTACCAAGAAATTAGTTATGATAAGATTTATCCTTCCCACTCTTTTATTATACTATATTCGGACTTGGTTGAGCTTAGCATTTTTACACACAGCCTTTTTTTATTAAATTTGAATTAATGCTTAGAATTTGTTGCAAAAAGGATTCTGCTTTGAATCAAGAAACCTAACTATTTAAGTGAAAAAAGTTACTACGAAAATAATATTTAAAATTAAGCTTTTTACTAAATTTCCTGATTTCAATAAATAGCGCCTCGTGACCGCAATGTCGGCCCTCGTTTAGCAGGTCGTCGTGATCGTGAAGAAGGTGGAAATGAGTTCCCATCAAGAACTTCTCGTGGTGCTCGGGCTGGAGAGCGTTCTCGTGGCGGTGGACGTGGTGGTCGTCGTGGTCGTGAATATGATCGTCATAGTGGTACTGGAAGAAAGTTAGTATTTCATTACTAATTTTAGTTTTAAATATATACTTTATCAAATTCAAAAAAAAATTTTTTTGATGATTCTGAAATTCAAATTTTATTTAGTGACAGTGAAAAAAAGGAATCCCAAGGCTGGGGTAATGCAACTAACCCCTACGCTGAGGGTGGTGCTGAAAGTGAAGTCTGGAATGCTAACGAACAAGATAATACGCAAAAAAGCGGTGAGCGCGGCTGGAGTGATAACGCCAAAGATGAGCAGACAAATGCGACTGGTGGTGAGGATAATGCCGGGGGCGGTTCTGAATGGAATACAGAAACTCCTGCTGAAGGAGGAACCTGGGCTGCAAATGATGAAACCGGAGAAGCGACAACCCAAAATTGGAATGTTGATAAAGAAACAAATCAGGAAAATTCAGGAGCTATTACCGGTGACCTCTCAGAAGCTCCGCCTGCAGCTGAAGAAGTTGTCAAGACGTTAGATGAATATTTAGCTGAGAAAAAACAAAAAGCGAGTAGTATTGCGCTTCCTGAAATTAGAAAACCGAATGAAGGTATTGATGACCCTAAGTGGAAGGACGCTGTTCCACTTCAAAAAGAGGAAGAAGATGATTTCTTGTTTGTTGGAAAGGTAATCTCGCATTATATTCTTATAATTAATTGTTTGTATATATTTAAGTGGATTTATTAACTTTTGTCTATATACTGAAAATCATTTTATAGGAACAATCTATCAAGCTTAAGTCTAAGAAATCGTTAAAAACCAAAAACTTCCTCGATATTGACCAAACCTTTGTTGAGAAACCGGGTGGAGGTTATACACGTGGACGTGGTGGCCGTGGACGTGGTGGTAGAAGTGGTAGAGGTGGTCGAGATGGAGACAATTTCCGTGAAAAACGCGATACTCGTGGTGGTGGTGGTGGCGGTGGAAATGAGTGGAATTCTGATAATCGTCGTGGTGGTGGTGGTGGTGGTGTTGGACGCAGTGGCGTCGTCAACCTCGACGATGTTAGTGCTTTCCCAAGCCTTGGTTCTTAATTATTAAGTTTACCGAGAAAAAGGAAATCTCCTAAAAAGAACAATATAATTTTAACAATTTTATCATCACCATCATCAGCGAATTTTAAATAGGACAATTTATTTGTGATTAAAATATGTTCATATATTTTAAATAGGTAGTATATTTTTATTGTTATCTTCTTCCTCTTGACATTTTTGTTGCAGCCATTGTAAAGATTAAATAAAATATATATTTATATATATATGTATAGATAAATAATAGTTGTACAATATAGACAGTATGCCAGGTTGCCACGATAGTGCTACCACTGATACTGATACACATGATCGTGATGACTACAAAGTATATAATTTACCAAATAGCTATTCAACGAACCCGGATTTTTCATATCCGGCGGAACTTCAATAATAACCAAATTTGTTAAAAATATTTTAAAATTTTTATATATCGAAAACTGTTTGCTACCGCTGCTGCTGATGATGATGCTGATGCTATTGTTGATGTAGATGATGTTGTTGTTGTTGTCGTCATCGTCGTGGTGTAAATTGTGATAATATCAGCATCTCGAGAGGATGAAACATCTCGAGTCTCCCATATTGTTTAATAATTCATTAGTTCCTCGGTTCTTTTTTAGAATATTGAAAATGAGTGTAAACTTAAATCAGTTTCTTCCTTATACGGATAGATGACAGGGATCTGCAAAAAAATTTGAATAAATTGTTATTAAAAATCACATGAACTAGATCCTTTTAATCGTTTTATAGATATCAATATATCAGAATTTTCGGGATATCAATTCATGTGATCAATTTTTTAGTTGACTCATAGTCGAGTAGCTACTCATATATTCACTCATTTCTATTGTATCGTGATAAATACGGCTCTATCTCTGAGAATATCGCGTTTACATTAACCATTTAATTAACTATAAAGCTCAACTTAATAAAGATGAGCTTAAACGAATAGGTGAGGAAGAAAAGCAAGAAATGATTTCGAGACTATCTTTGCTCGAAAAATACAAACTGGATTATCAGATTAGCCTTTGTATCCTGCCTGCGCACTGGGATTTCCTAGCTCGCCTACGTGCCGAGCTCCCTTCGTTTATAATTTCGCCTACGTACCGGCTCTTATTTTTTATATCATAGTAATACAATTAAAGATATAATTTTCATAAAAGAACGATATTAACAACCCATACACACACGGATATTTCGTATTAGATGCTTGATTTATCGGATAGTTCTTTCTTGATAGCTTCAGAAGTATTATCCTTTGCTTGTTCTACGATAACTACTTCGAGATATTTTCTTATATACTCAACTTTAATGTCGGGTATTTATTAATGCTTTTAATGCATTATCATCTAGTGATTTCATAGATTTCGTCTTTCTTTATTTGCGCGCAAAGCCCTGAAAAAGACAAGATTAATAAATATAGCATCGAAAGGTTATTATTGTTGAATTGTCACTTACTTCCGACATGACATTTTATATTTATCTGAACTATAAAATAAACACGTAAATATGTCCAGGAATACCTTGCGCTTAATTGATCTTCCGATAAAAATATTGTCTATTCCATAATAGATTAAATTAATGCTTTATACAATGTAGTAATAAAATTAAAATTAGATTTCTTACCCGTTAATAATTTATAAACATTTTTCATGTAGAATTTCAATTTTTTGCTTAGTAATACCGTTACAATAAATTGCTTAGTAATGCTTATTAACAATCGTAAACTACAGTTCATACAAGCTAAACCGATCAATCACGTGACCTTGTTTCGATTTTTGACGAGAATTTGAATTAAGTCGATTTATGATACTTTTTTGATATATCACGTGACTTACAATATATCACTCACGTAAAACAAAATTAATTAAATATTATATATTTAGCAAGTTATTTAATATTAATAAAATTAGTTATTAAGAATTATAATATTATAAAATATTAAATCTAAAACTCTTAATATAATTGATATTTTTTTATTATATATTTAGCAATTTTCTTATTAAATTCTTATAATATCTATTATTATCAAGTTAAATTTACTATGATATAAATAATCTAAAGATATCAAGTATTGTGTCACCACTAAAATTTGGAATACATGTATTATGATATAATTATATAATAGATATATCACATCAGAAAATATATCAGAAATAATTTTAAGCTCTTAAAAAATTATTTAAAAGATTTTTAAATATTATTTAGAAGATTCATATTAAAGACTTATAAGATAAGTTATTTCTCTTTTTTGTTATATAAAAAAGTTTATTTAGAAGATAATATTTTCTTTGCTACATAATTATAAAATAATAAATAATCTCTCTTCTCTATATTATTATCTTTCTTTTCTATGATATAGATCTTTTTTACTATATTATTAATTCTTCTTAAGTTATTTTAAGATGTATTTTTTCTTTCTTATACCTAAATAAAGTAAATGTACTAGATATTACTTAATAACTATTAAAAAGTATTGGAATAATATCAAGTCAAAACAGAAGAAGAAAATATCAGATGTTAATAAATCAAGTGATAATGTTATTTGGATGAAAAATGAAAATAAATCTTTAAATAATGACTAATTTATAGAAGAATTAAAAGAATTAAAATAAAATATGCTAGAAAAACTTATTAAGAATGCAAAATAATTAGATGTATAAATAATAAAGAGATAGAAATTAATTTACAAAGATTTTGCTAAATTAATATTATATAATAAAAGAATAATCTTAAGAAAGATAGCTTTTAATTCTAATAAAATCACAACTGATTTTCTATCAAGATAGCTAACTTCAGTAATAATAAACTTCTATTTAAAAAAATAGTTAATTTTATTAATGATAAATTTTTATTTGAGAAGATAATTAATTCTAGTAATAATAAGAATATATTTACTTTGATATCTCTTGATATTCTATTAAAAAAAGTCTAATATGCAACTTGATATAGTAAATTAATTTTTCTATCTTATTCAAGATCAAGGATTCTCTAAATTATCAACTAGTAATCTTCTTATTCATAGTATTAATTAGAATTTATAGTATAGATAGATTATTTATTTGTAAATTAATTAATAATTAAGTAAAGATAAAATTCTCATATCACATCATAATCATCACTCAAAAACTATATCACTTCTATCTGATAAAGTTTTTAAGATATATATGATTAAATATTTATATATAAATAAGTTTATAGTAATCATCTACAAATTCATCAAGTTTATCAAGAATGAGACTCTATCTAATTTTGAAATTAAGATAAAAAAAAAGATTGATAAAATAATAGTTCAGAAGTAATTATATCAACTTAGCTAGGATTATAAGAACTATTCAAAAAATATTTACTTTGATAACTATGAGTGTAATAATGTAATAACTTATCAAAATTAATTCTTAAAATAAATTATGAGTTTATAATTTTGAATTATAATATACAAGAAAGAAAATATAGATCAAATTATCTCACTAATACTTCCATCTAATATTCTTGAGCTCATTCCAGTTATTCATGATAAATTAATTTTTTATACTAATGATAGTATTATCAAGATCTAGAATCTAGCAAAAGAAAATTAGCTTTAATATAAGTTACAAGATCTTAATATTTATATAAGTAATTTTATTTGTAAATTAATTAGATATTTTTATCTTTTAACAGAGAATCAAGCTGTGAATAACTTATTTTCTGATGATAATTAACTTTTACATATTGAGATTTGTGTTATTATATATTTAGATTCTAATTGAAATGACTGATAAATAAATTAAGATCTTATAAAGTAAGTGATTGATAGAGCTATTTTAATTTTTGAGAGAATATATTCTGACAAAGTTATACTCTTCATATTTAATAATAGTTATAATTATAATATATATTTTGATGATACTCTGATTATTTTACAAATGAATTTGAAGAATAGTAATAAATAACTACTTTTTTATAATAACAAGATATCTGATAGTTCTTGTTATATTCTAATATTTATTGATACTAATAATAAAATCAAATTAAAAAGTATCTAATAAATTCTTGAAAAATATAATCTATAAATAAAAGAAATATGATACTTATAAATCACATACTTTAAATCTAATAAAATTATAATATTATATAATTGATATTTTTGATTAATAATCTAATTTCACATCTCAACAGAATCATCTGTAGAAGATTATTAAAGCAGCTGGTTATATATTTATTTTTTACTTAAAGTTTCATTACAAGCTCAATTTTATTAAATTATTTTGGAAGGAGGCAAAGTAATATTTGCATCTACATTATGATTACTTTTTTAAGTATCTTAAAAAAATCATTTCACAAATATTAAAATTAGTTATCCTAATCAAGATTCATTATTATACATATTAATTTACTTGCTATATAAGCACTTATAAATAAGATTTTTCAGGTAAAACTATTATCTTTGTCATAAAAAAGTATAGATTATATCATAAAGTTTCTGATAGTATTTTAAAAGAATTTGATTATATGAAATAATTAAGCTAGTTTAACTATTTAATTAATTTAGCAAAAAAGAGTTTGAGAAGTTTAATATCTCTTTAAATAAAAAATGATCAATAATTTTTAAATAAATTAATAATTTTTAAATAAATTAATAATATCATTAAGTATATTTCTTTTTATTTATTATATTATAAAAATTAATTATCTTATTCATATGATAATATATAAGCTCTGTTCAATTAGAAAAAAATTTCTAGTACTAAAAATTTTTCTAATTTCATATTAAATTCTATTAGAAATGATCAAAGAAAAATTTTAACTACTCAATAAATTACTAATATATTTTAAAAAAAATATATTATTTTATAGATCTTATCCAAGACTATCTAGTAATATATTTATTTTTATAATTATATATTTATATGTAGAATCTTTATAGTTTAAAATACTTGATAACTTTAAATCATTCACATCATATTTATAATAATATTAATAAGTTAGTATAATATTTATATTTATAAAAAATTAAAAATTAAAAATAAAATTAAGTAGATTCACAAGTTATAAGCTAGAAGTAATATATATAATTAATATAAGAGATATATATTTAAGAAAATAAAATATATAATATATATTTTATTATAAAAAGTGAATTTTTTTATATAACTTCTATTATTTACTTAAGCTAACATCTATTTCTATATTATAATACATAATTTTTTTATAATATATTATTATTTTATATAATTTTGAATTAGATATATAGTAAAAGATATAAGTAATTAACTTCTCTTCATTTTTTAAAATAATAATATAAAATTTGATTTTTTTATTATTATAAAGTATAAGTTAAATTCTGATCATTAATATATAGTATAGTTATTATTTGCATTTATTAATGCTATAACTTTATTTTTCATACTA